AAAAAAAAAAAAAAAAAAAAAAAAAAAAAAAAAAGAGTTTTATAAACAGCCATTAGACATAAACTACCTGCCTTTATGTTGGAAAAATTTTTTTAGATAACTGTTGATTTCAAAATTAAAATGAAACCTCCCCAGGCATAGCCTGAGTCTTCCTCCTCTTTAAACTACTACTGGTTAGTATTTGAGTTAACCTCGGATGTTTATTCAAAGTTCCAGTGGCAGTAAAGTTGACTTCTCCTAAGAGTTGATATCTGTGGACCCCGATCCCCCCTAGTGGGAGTGGGACATCAACTTTTTAGGTAATTCAAGAAGTAGCTCCTGCATTGGCAGTCACTTTCACTGACTTTAGTATTATTACTTGCTCTTGGTGTTACCTTAAACAGTTCCTTCACGAGAATGTCTTCAACATTGTGGTTTCCTGATCAACTGCAGCTTAACTTTATAATAAAACACGCTTCAACCCTCCCTTCCTGCTGCTTCTGCCCTTGCCCCAAACCAAGAGTAGTGAAAACTATGCTATGTAATAACTACAGAATTTCTCTCTCAACCTCTTGGTCTCTTCTTTCACTTTGGATATACTAACTCAGGCCATGAAATCACTCACAATTCCCATTGCAAAGCTTTTATCTTGTTTCTATTAAAAACTTAATATTGTATCCACTTCTCTGCTACCAGATGCCTCAATTTTATTCTTTTGTAGCCTGTTTTAGTTTTTTGTTTGTTGAGACTAACCTCACACATTTGATTTTTTTAAATAATTATGCATTTGAGGTGAACAAGGAATAGCTTTAGATTGCAGTTGCCTCAGAAAGCTTATTTAATGTTTGATAGGGCAAACATTTCTTCTCTTTTTTTATTGACAGGTACAGTCACATGCACATGTGATACAGCATAGCAAGAATAGCTTAAAATTGCTTATAATAGTCACTAACATTTACTCAGCACTTACTCCATCTCTAGCACTCTGCTAAGCATTTGACATACATTCTCTTATTGGATTCTTCATTGTGTTACTGACAAAACTAAGAATTTGGGGAGGTTAAAGCACTTGTCCAGGGTTACACAGCTAACAAATGATTGATTAGGGATTTGAATCCAACTGATCTGACTCCAGTAGCCACCTACTTAACCACTCATGAGAGAGTGTGCTTGCAGGACTATGTATATGGGCAAAACTTGTCCAGCTAAGTCTCAAGGGCAGAGGAGAGAGATCTCTCCTAAAGGAAAGTCTTGGTAGGAAGGAGTTATAATACACCGGAAGTGTAACAGTTCATTGAAACTTCATGATTTATCTGAAAATTTGTGATGATTTTGCATTCTGCTTCATATTTATATTGCATTAATATAAAAGAAATATTTGGCTCTATTAAAAGACAAAAAAGACATAAATATTTATGAACCAGATGACAAACATTGTAAGGATGTCAGTTTTCCCCAAATTAGTCTACTATTCAATGCAATTCCAGTTAAAATTTCCATAGAGTTTTTGGAAGAAACTTTCTAATCAAATTTTTAAATTTATATGGCACAAAAATATTCACAGACAGCTAAAACAAGCTGGGAAAAGAAAAACCAAGAGTAAAGATTTGCCCTATCAAATACAGATATTGATCAACTTACCACCTATGCAACTTACGACCATTTGACTTTACAACCACAAATGCTAGCCATGACTGCTCCGCGTCTGGCAGCGCAAATGTTGTCCAGCTGGGCGTACGACAGTGCGGACCAGCTTCCGGCGGCACTACCATCTCCGCGTGCACCATTTCAACTGTACATATAGCCTACTCAACTTACGACCAAATCGTGTTACAACCGGTCCGCAGTCCCAACCGTGGTCGTAAGTCGAGCACTAGCTGTATTAAGACATAAGATAGAGCTGTGCTAATAAAAAACACAGTAGTGCTAATTTAGAGATTAACAACCAGAACAACAGAAAGCTCAGAATCATGTTTATAAATTATGCATATATATATACACACATACATATGTGTGTATGTATGTACGTATATAAACTATGATCAGATGAGAATAAGGTATATCATTCAGAATGTGTTGTTGGAAACTTTTGCTTATTTTACAGAGAAAAATAAAATAAGATTCCTACCTCACACCACATACAAAAATAGGCTTCTGATAAATTAAATGCAAGAGGAAGGAAAGAAGGGAAGGAGGAAGGGGGGAAGAAGAAAAGAAGGAGGAAAGGAGGGGAAAAGGGGAAAGAAGGAAGGAGGGAAGAAAGGAAGGAAGGTAGGAAGGAAGAAAAGAAGGAAGGAGGAAAGGAGGGGAAAGAAGGAACACATAGGAGAATATCTTTATTACACCTGGATGAGGGAAAGATTCCATAACTATATTCCCAAAATTTAACTCACAAAAAAAAATTTGATATGTTTTCCTATTTCAAAATTACAGATAAACACAGAGCTGCTGTCTGTCTCTTTGCCCTATTCATTTTCTTTATAGTGTTTATCGTGTTATGATACTGACTAGTTTACTCATTTGATTTGGGGTCTTGTGCTCATTTGAGATATGCTTCAGGAAGGCAGGTACTTTGCCTATTGTGTTTACCACTGTAGACACAGCCCCAGAACTATGTCTGGCATAATATGTGGGCAATAAATGGGTCCTTCATACATTGTCTTAAGGATTTTTAAAATATTCCTGAATTGTATAGATCCCATTGCTATCTGGGATTCCATTTTTTCTTTTTTTTACCATTTTGCAGGTTCTACTAAAACTTCCTCTAATACAAGTCCTAAAGGGTATCTACAAGACTGCTTCTTAGAGAAATTTCATTTTCTACCATGCCTAAAACTCTGATTTAATCCCTGTAGGCAACAGTAGGACTATTTTGACAATGTCTTTTGAATGCATCATGTAGGGTTGATCCATCTAGAGATAATACCTTTAGGATATAACTGAAACCAAAGAATTGAGAATAGAAGAAAGCATATTTCAGCATAACCCTATAAATTATTTTCTCCCATTGCAATTGTCCAGAAAGGAAACAGGTTGACTTGAGAATCAGTAAATTATGCGTCACTGAATGTGTTTGGACAGAGTCTGCAGGACCACTTACCAGAAAAGGAGAGAAAAGATGAGAAGAAATGCTCTTTAAGGTTCCTTCCATCCTCAAGCTCTAAGATCCTTAGCCAGTTTCTTCTTATACCCACTCCTCTCCACAATATTCTTCCCTTCCCCCACCAGGAATATTGAAGCAGCACAATGCCAAAGACAGCAATAAACACTATAAATAATCATTACTCTCAACACTTGATGAGTGACACCAAAAATTAAAAGGATGCCTGCACAGTAAAGCAAGCACCCTGCAGGGTATTTATTTTTGGCTCTGGAATACAAAGACACATAGTCAGAGCCATACATTCATCTTTCATTCTTAGTGCCCCATGCCCACCCGCACTGAGGGTGATGCTCACATGAACATCATGCAAATACTGCATGGTGTGGGCTGAAATTCAGACAGAGGTATCAGCACAGATTGTGCAGCTGCCATCTTTTGAAATTCCATGGAGATGCTTGGTCATGCACAACCGAACACATCAAGAGGTTTGCTCTAGTTTCACTCTATCTATAAGAGGGGTCCTACCCCATTTTGTTTTTTTTAAAAAAATAGGGATCCATGAAAGTGGCCTTGGAAGTAGAAGGCGAAAGTTCTGAGTGTGGGTACTGGATGCTCAGGAGTTGCATTCCCATACTGATAGCACCTAGAGAACTTGTGGGAAGCTGAGGCTGCATCTAGGGCCTCTCCATCTGGCAGGAGTCCCCCAACCCCATCCCTCTACTCCACACCTCCCACCCAGCCTCCCAATCCTAGCCCGAGAGCTCATTGCCAGGAATCCCCAAGAGGGCCTTAGGACCCTTTGATAGACAATACCACTCATCTCCCCACCCTGCCTTCTACCTTTCCACCCTAGCCAGTTCTCTGGCTTACACTATAGATCCTAGTGATGCTTACACTATAGAGCTCTCTGGCACTATGAGCATTTGCACATCCTTTGCCTTGTTTCATCCTTCCAAGAGCCTTGTAAGGGAAAACAGCAGGTCTGATTATGTCAATTTTATTCATGAAGAGACTGAGATGCAGACAGGATAAAGTGACTTACCTAAGTCATCCAACCATGTGGCAAAGCCAGGACATGAGGTAGGCCATCAGAACCCTCATCTCTTGCATTCACCTCCAAAATAGATCTCTCATCAGGTTGCCAGACAATGATGCCATTCGTATCAGACAGAGCAACTGTAAAAAGAATGGTCATCTATGACCCATTAGCTCTGGAAAGAAGGGCAGCATGGCAGAACTCTCTGAAATATGAAGAAGTAAGAACACGCTCCCACCAGAGAGCAATTCCCACCAGAACAGCTGTCCTTGAGATGTGTCACCTTCACATGTAAGCACACTGCCACCTGGGGAAATAACACACAACAGGTGCAGAGTGATACTGAGATGATTACTTTATCCCCCTCTGCTTTCCCTAGATTACAGGGTAGTGATTATATCAAAAGAGAAAGTCATTTTTCTCAATCTTTGCTGGTGGATTACATGTGAAAGCATAATCACAGCAACCACAGTTCCTGCACCTAACTCAGAAGTGGGTCAGGATACAGAGACATCTGAGAGAAGAAAGGGTGACTACTTAAAAGGAGCTCCTTAGAGGCAGCACAGGTGAAAGATGCCCTGGCCCAATATTAGGAGGCTTTACAAGGAAAAGATAAGACTAGCCATCCAGTTTTAGTGGCAGAGCCTCAGACTCCTGTGTTTGAATTAGGAAGCTGTCTTGATATCACTTGACTTGTATCGATGGCCTGAGGTCTGCACTATTCTGCCACTAATTAGCTGTGTAGTGATCAATATAGTAAAATCAAAAGGACACTGGATTAGGAGTTAGGAGGCCTGGGTGACTGTGACCCCTGGAAAAGTTGCTTCTCCTCTCTGGGCACTGATTTTTTCACCTATGAAGTAAGAAAGTTAAACACAATGATCTCCAACTTTCCATTAAGTTCTGAAATTCAAAGTCATTTTCTACACATGGAAAATTAGATGGCTAAGCATGTTTTCCAAAAAAAATTTTCAGTCCTAACATTTTAATGTTTCATAAATATATTTTCTGAGTCATTTCTTTCTTGGAATAAACATATGGTCCCTAGTATTTCAAATGATACCTCTGCAGTAAACACAAGCTCTGTGGATTGTACTGAATTAGGAAATTGTTGTGGTCAGTAAGATTACCCGCTAAATTATATACCATCATCATGCAAATTATAAAAAATCATCCCTTCTGGCCAGACAGCTTGGAAAAGTGCGTCTCTCTGTGCAGAAGGAGTCTCATAGAGGGCTAAAAGAGCAGTACTTAGGCTGAATTTCAGCTTCCTCCTCCTCAGCTGAATATCCTTATACAATGTAAAAGCTGCTCAACTAAACAGAGCAGCCCTAATGGAGTCGAAAATACTGAAGGCTTTTGTTTCAAGCCACACTCAAACTTTCTGAGAAAAATGCAGAAAAGTTAGAGCTGGCAGCATTCCATGCTCTCTGAGCTGGGCATAGACTGTGCTGAGGATTGAAGGGTTTCATGGTTGCAATGCTTATTTTACTATTGATGCCCTAAAGGATGAAGATAGCACCATCAATCATCATTCTGGCAAAAAGAGAAATCAGAATGCAATCTCCAACGGTCCACGATTAAAATATTAATCTGATTAACTTACAGAGAAAACAAATTATACACTAAACTTCCTTTCAAATAGATTTTAAGCTCCTTGGAAGAGTGGTTTCTTGTTCACTTTTATACCTCCAGAATAGACTACAGTGCCAGGCATGAACTAGGTGCTCAATAAACAATTACTGACTGAACTCACCATATGAAGTTGATTGATTCAAATGCCCCAAGAATGGATATTTGTGTCACACAAATAAAGCATGATGAAGTTAAAGTAGAATTAGGAAAAGCCAACCTAGAGCACCAGTTTTCAATCTTTGGATTGAGATGTTTGGATCCTGGGGGCAGATCCCTCATTGCTTGGTGCTGTCTTCATGATAGCGAATTCTGGTGAGATCTCGTTGTTTAAACATGTGTGGCATGTCCCCCCATAAGCGCTCTCTCTCTCTCTCTCTCTCTCTCTCTTTCGGTCTCTCTCTCTGCCACGTTATGTGCCTGCTCCCCCTTTGCCTTCTGCCATGATTGGAAGCTTCCTGAGGCCATGCTAGAAGTAGATGCCACTGTGCTTTCTGAACAGCTTGCCAATTAGATCTCTTTTCTTATAAATTTCCCAGCCCCAGGCATTTCTTTATAGCACTGCAAGAATAACCTAATACAGACATCAACTAGTGTTTATTGTTTTTATAAAAAATCTGTTACCTATGAGATTTTTTGTTATTTTCTAAGAAATTTTTCTTTTCTTTCTAGTAGCTTTTAGGAATTTTCCCTCTGTCTTGATGTTTTCCAGTTCTACTACAATATGTCTGGGTGTAGAAATTTTTTAATTCATTCTGCTTGCAGCTGAATGCATTTCTTCAATCTGAAAACTCATCTCTCACCAGTTTTGTTAAATTCTCAGCCATCACTCATATTTCTTCTCCTTTATTGCATCTGGTCTCTCTGTCTGGAGCTCCTAGTAGAAATAATATGTTGAACCTTCTCATTCTATCCTCCATCTTTCTTAACCTCTCTTCTATATTTTCCACATTTTCTTCTGTATTCTGTATTCTATCTAATTTCTTCAGAGCTAAACTCCTATTTGCTCATTTTCTTTTCAGAAGTGTCTAGTTAACGTTTAAACTGTCTGTTGAGGTTTCTTTAAATTATTATTTTCAATATGTTTGTTTAGATTTATTTTATTATTTCTTTTCCTTCCTAATGATTTATATCCATTTATTTATTTATTTATTTTGAGATGGAGTCTTTCTCTGCCATCCAGGCTGGGGTGCATTGGTGCAATCTTAGCTCACTGCAACATCTTCCTCCCAGGCTCAAGAGATTCGTCTGCTTCGGCCTCCTGAGTAGTTGGGACTACGGGGCATACTGTCATGCCCAGCTAATTTTTTTTGTATTTTTAGTAGAGACATGGTGTCACCATGTTAGCCAGGCTGGTCTCGGACTCCTGACTTCAGGTGATAATGCCGGCCTCATTCTCCCAAAGTGCTGGGATTACAGGCATGAGCCACCATGCCCAGCCCGTTCATTTTAATGTTTTAACTATTGCTATTTTTAAAATAACTCCCTGGAAACTTCTCTATTTTCTGTATTTCGTTGCGTTTTGTTTTTCTCATTTGCTGTGTTTTTCGTCTCTTTCTCTCTCTCTGTTTCTCTCTCCCTATTGGTAATGAGGTTCCATCTATCCTTTGCAATTAAGTGAACCTTCTGACAAGTGCTTTCTTCTGAAGGAGCACCCTCTCTTGCTGTCTGTGGTGAAGAGGTCCTCATGGGACAGTGTTGCATTGGCCTTTGCTGGTATCCCACTAGTTTCACTATTTTTTTATTTGTGGAGATTCTTTGTTGTTGTTACTGTTGGTTTCCTTGCTTAGATTTTCAGCACCATACAGGTAATATAAATTAGGGCCATATGCCTTCTCCCAACAGAGGTTTAATATTCTGATTTTTCTTACATCACTCTTTTTTAATGCACTTCCCAAAATACGTGACCCACTGTCATGCTTGCTCTTGACTGCCAGACAGATATTTTCCAGTCTGTTTCATGGATGGGGCATTTGCTATACATGGCCTTGTGCAAGGAAGTCATTTTCAACTTCTCACTTTATAGAAGGATGAGAACTCCTGCTGTCTCTCCACCAAGAAAATCACAGCCCCCACCCCACTTGTAAGTCCCCACCCTGCTTCTCTGTGCGCTGTGCCCTATTCAGCTCCAACTCCTGCTCACTGTTCAGTCTTCAAGTTCACTCTCAGTTCTAGCACCTCCAGATTTCCTTTCTCTGATTTTGAATCCAGAAATTAATTACTTCACATTATATGGTATTATCTTATATTTTACTCAGCACTTCCATGTGCTCGGAATGGAGGGTATCTTATACATCAGTTTAATCTGCTGTATTGACTGGAAATGATTATTTATACATATATTAAATGTGTAGATAATTGGTTTTATAGGTGCATTAAATTTATTTAATATGATAAATACTAAATTCAAATTTATTTGATATGATAAATATTAAATAAATTTAGTGCACATATGAAACCAATGATCATTGGTTCTTAAATTTAATGTATATATAAATCCTTAAGGATCATTAAGTATAAGGATTAAAATTTATTCTTATTATTTTTAAATGATCTTATAAAATGGATAGAATTAATAATGTTGTCCCATGTCTACAAAATAACTGTGAATATTGCCATGCTGTGTCTTTCGATTGGGGCATTTAGCCCATTTACATTTAAGGCATATTGTTATGTGTGAATTTGATCCTGCCATTTTGATGCTAGCTGGTTGTTTTGATCATTAGTTGATGCAGTTTCTTCATAGTGTCACCACTGGTCTTTACAATTTGGTATGTTTTTGCAGTGGCTGGTACTGGTTGTTCCTTTCCATGTTTAGTGCTTCCCTCAGGAGCTCTTGTAAGGCAGGCCTGATGGTGACGAAATATCTCAGCAGTTGCTTGTCCGTAAAGGATTTTATTTCTCCTTCACTTATGAAGCTTAGTTTGGCTGGATATGAAATTCTGGGTTGAAAGTTCTTTTCTTTAAGGATGTTGAATATTGGCCCCCACTCTCTTCTGGCTTGTAGGTTTTCTGTCAAGAGATCCGCTGTGAGTCTGATGGGCTTCCCTTGTGGGTAACCTGACCTTTCTCTCTGGCTGCCTGTAGCATTTTTTCCTTCATTTCAACCCTGGTGAATCTGACAATTATGTGCCTTGGGGTTGCTCTTCTTGAGGAATATCTTTGTGGTGTTCTCCGTATTTCCTGGACTTGAATATTGGCCCGCCTTGCTAGGTTAGGGGAGTTCTCCTGGATGATATCCTGGAAGAGTGTTTTCCAAGTTGGTTCCATTCTCCTCATCGCTTTAAGGTACACCGATCAAATGTAGATTAGGTCTTTTCACATAATCCCATATTTCTTGGAGGATTTGTTCATTTCTTTTCACTCTTTTTGCTTTATTGCACAGAGTGGACTTCAATCTCTGATATCCTTTCTTCCACTTGATCAATTCAGCTATTGAAACTTGTGCGTGCTTCATGAAGTTCTTGTGCTATTTTTCAGCTCCATGTTCTTCTCTGCGCTGGTTATT